CCAAATGGACCCCATTTAAATTGGCTCAGAGGAGTCACCAGGTATCATCAATCTCAATTACTCACGAGAAGTTAAGCGGTCATACCGGGAAGAAAATTTGATTCACACAGCGTTCTACATCATTAAAACTGATCAGTCAAGTTGCTGTATGTATATTTTTGACTTAGCAGATTTCCAGATGACCTTTAATAAATCTATGAGCACAGAAAAGACTACACAGAAAACACTTACACCTATAATGCAGTCCTGAGATCTGTTGCTGGGCAGTTTTGCCACCATTCACTCAATACATTCAGACAGTAATGTGCATGCATCACTTAGAGCAACATCAATATTTAAGCCTATTTAATACTCCCATGCACGACTACTACAGTCTGAATTTTCCTTTTGCCATGTTTTCTATAGCTCGTCAAAATTTCAGAGAGATATTTTTATTTTTATTTTATCTCTCCGCCTCATTTTATAGTAAGCTGCGTATACTATAAAGGAAGCTCTGTCTGTTGGTTGGCTCTGGAGGGGACTGAAGAGTTTGTAAGACGCTTTAGCACCACAAACACACAGGCCTTCAGATGTGCAAACGATAGTTTCACCACCCACACGGACACTTCAGATCCTTTATCTCCTTCAGAGCAAGTGTGCCCACTGAAGACAAGACAAACACAGCATTCCTAAGCTGCAGCGGAGAAGCGAAGAGGAACAGCATCAAATGGCGGGCCCCGAGAGAAACGAAAGAGAGATGAGCATTTTCTTTGTCGGAAACTTGTTCAGTTGCAGCGGAGCTATCAAAACTGCCAGCTGCAATGTCTGATTAAATGTAGTGAAGCTGTCAATTTGCTCCCAGGCGCTGCTTTCTGACCCACTTCACCTGTCAATGACTTCAAACCCTGTAATTGACGTTTCCGAAGACAAGATCCGCCCCGATCTTTGTCAGAGAAGCAGCAGAAGTGCATCCCCCTGCTGGCCCAGCACCTGCCCCTCATCACAGAGACAGACAGCAGAAAAAATAAGTTTCAGGGAGGAAATGAAAAGAAAGCAGATGGGAGTAATGCACACCCCTGTGGAAAGATTGTGCAGTGACCAGCTGCCAGCACAAGTTTCATGTAGATCTATTTTTAAGATTAATCCACCAACGCTGCAGTCAAGTGTTTTCACTGGAGCTAGATCTTTCTAATCACAAGTGTTCCCTGTGAGATTTTTGGATTATCCACAGTAATCAAGAAACTGTTTTCAAAAAGACACACTGGTGGGGATTTTGGGATTGCAAATTTCAATTAACAGGCTGATGTCTTCGCAAATATGATGTTTTCCATTTGCATTATATTAGTTTAATGTGTTAGCATGCTAACATTTGCTAATCAGCAGCAAAGTACAGCTGAGGATGTCTTAACTTTATGACATACATGTGTTTGTGCGGGCTGCAAGGTTGGTAGCATTGTTGCCTTGCAGCAAGAAGGTCGCCGGGATCTTTCTGCGTGGAGTTTGCATGTTGTCTCCGTGCAGCGTGGGTTCTCTCTGGGTTCTCCGGCTTCCTCCCACACAGTCCAAAAACATGTTGAGGTTAATTGATGATTCTAAATTGTCCGTAGGTGTGAATGTGAGTGTGCTTGGTTGTCTGTCTCTAAGTGTAGCCCTGTGATAGACTGGTGACCTGTCCAGGGTGTCTCCTGCCTTCACCCTGAGTCAGCTGGGATAGACTCCAGCCCCCCATGACCCTAGTGAGGATTAAGTGGTGTATAGATGATGGATGCATTATTATGTTTAGATTAGTTCTTTTCTGTTTTTTTTTTCTCTTTTATTGAATATTGTACTTGAATTCTCAATAATGCTTATGTATTATATATGCATTGCTTATTCTGTATTTTTTTTTTTTTTAAATATATGTAGTTTGAGATAAATAAATTAAACTAAACTAAACTAATAGGGGTCAACAAAGCCATTGAATGAGCACAAATGTCAAACTTACGGTGGTGTCAAACGAAAATAAAAGTTTGGGTCACCAAAATCATTAGGGTTCTCCCTCTGAAAACACTGAATGTCTGTGCAAGCTGTTGTACATTGAGAAGATAGAGAAATATTTCATAAGATAAGATGTTATCAGTTCCGAGGGAAATCCTGATATTGCTTGGAAAACAAAATTACATGAGAAAACGCAATGCCTAATAGATTAAAAACATGATGAAAGTACAGTGCATTACTGAAAATAAAAACAAGCAAGCTAAAATATGACAAGAATAGAAAAGTAAAAAGTAATACTGGTAATGATTCTGGACGTAACAAAGGAATATCACACACGATATTGAAATATTGCACATTGCATTGATTTATTGTACATGAAATATAATATATTGCGTATAATACTGTAGCTTTTGAAAAAATGTAATATTGAAAATGACATTGATATTATTGTTTACATTTAAATGTCCGATGTTTGCAGCTGTCATTTCTGCAGAATATATGATTTGATGTCCACCAGTAGAATCAATAATTAAAGAACGGCTGTTGCTAAATGAAAATGTCAGAATATCACCAAAGACACTGGGAGTCATCCTCTGAGCACCATGAATGTCTGTAACTAAATGTTATGACAACACAGACATCACATTATAAAGAAAAAAGGAGGCTGACTGAACACTTAATCTGTGCTATAAAATTGTATATTGACTGACAACATGGATCTTCAGTTGTCTCTTTGAACAATAAAAACCACACGTGTGTTTATGCATGATGAACCCGGTAAGCTCCTGACAGGTGTGGTTGAACATGTGCAGTAACAGTATGACTTTTGTACTATTGTTTTCCTCCGTGCACGTTTTTTTTTTTTTTTTTTTTTTTCTGTGTAACATATTGAATTGTGAACGTTTTTGTGGATGTTTGTCACCCTGGCTGGGTTAAGATGATCACCACACCTGTCTGCTGCCTGGAACCGGTCAGCCTGCTGTATAAATATGGGTGTGGCTTTCATTGTGTGGAATAACGTTGATCAGTGCAGTCAGCTGACTGACAGGTGAACCAGCTGACTCTTTCATGCTGCTAGCACGGCTACAACCAAATAAAAAGCACCATTTATTAGAAAATTTGGCCATCATTTGTGCTTTTTTTCTGAGTCCAAGCACCAAGTCTGAAGTCTGTCTGTTGAGGGTTACTGGGCTTCGTTCGTGCCAGGCTGAGGGCAGCATGTGTTCCCTCACCAAAACAAGACTTTTCTTGTTGCCATGTTTTCATCTGTGACTGGAGCCCTTCAAGCACGTGCATGAATTACAGCCCCTAATTTTAGCAAGATGTAGACAATGCACATCAGTGAGAGGAATTCATTATGCAGCAAGCGATTTCCATAAATGTGTTATTAACATTTTGTCCCCATGGAGAGTAGAAAACTAAATTTTGTTGCCATGCATCATAATGAGTCGACAAAAATGTTGTGTACAGATACTGATTATAACGGATTTAAATATAAGGATAGGAAAAAAAGGACATATACAACTTCTGTAATTGACTGATTACTGAGTTTCACATCACTCAGGTTGAATTTTCTATTAAGGCAACCATCATTACTGCTCAGACAGCTATGTCCTGTTTGTCTGAGATGTGGTTCGTTAAGGGAAAATAAAAAATTTATTGCTTTTTGCTCTTTCAGCCACCAGAGGGCCAACAAGCTCTAAAGACTGGAGATAAACTGCCAGCAGGTTGTGGGGGTCAAGTCATTTCTCTGCTTAAAAATAGTGTTTGAATTTAGTGCATGATTTTAAAATGACAACAAACCATCAGAGCATGTGTCAACAAGGTGACTTCAAACAGCAATTACATCATTATGAATATCAGCATCTACAGCTTAACTTGGCCAATGAGTCAAGGCCTGAGAGTAGAGTTA